GTGATTCCATGTTGAGCAGGTCCCATAGGTTATACAAATGCAGCTGGTTGTCCCAGTTCAGGCTTTAGAAAAAGTTTAGCATAATATTTCATTCAATTTGTTCACGGGTTTCCTTGATCAAAGAGTTGATAGCAAGGATCGGTCTCGGTATGGATACACATAGAGTCTTCGCACTATCGAATAAATTTTAAAACGAGACTCTTTTCACCAGGTACGTCTTAGATTCGATCTTTGACATGTAAATAAATTTTAAATACGAAAAGATCGGCCTAAGATTGTTATTGTCTTCCACTGCATGTTACGAACATCTATATGTAATCGTTCAAATAGTTCAACCCTCTGCCTAATTAATTTTTTTTTTAAAACGTGTAAAAGAGAAATACGACATATAATTTGAGACGAAGCAGTAATAAATTTTGTGCATAATCTATCATTTGTACCCGTACTTTACCACTATTGGACTATCCACAAAAAAGTTGTCTGAACATAAGTTAGTTATGAAAGTTTCGTACGTATATATATGTGCATGCGTCTACTTTTAAATTTCATTATCAAGTAAGTATCATGTTTTATATTTTTATTGGCCAGCTGAATTTATAGAATATAAGGATTTCAAGAGTATCTCAAGATCATAGCATTCACAAAATAATTCTCAAGATTGTTTGATAGAATAGACAAAAATATATCAAAGAATATTGGCAAGTTATCAACGAGATAATTTCATGTGAAATAGTAAGTAGTTATCATCTCTTAATGAACCTAGGGATGATTTTGGTAAATTAGCAAGATCTTCTTTGTGTAAGATAATTTAGTCAATGGTCAGCTCTAACTTACTATATATCTATCAAGACTTATATATACTTCTTTGGTAATTAGTTTTAATATATTGCCATTATGGTAAGTAAAACTACAGTATAACATGGAGGATCATTAATATCTTTTAGATATCAAATATTCCTTAATATTTGGTAAGCATTATGTTTTCTCCACTATAAAAAGAGCACCCATACCATAGAGTTTCTCCAAGCAATTATAAAAAAAGATTAAGGACAATAAACTCTTGTTCTATCTAGTAAACCAAGCATATTATGGCTTTTAATCTCCCTCTCATTTTCACTTTTATAGCTCTATGTTTGTTTAAACACTGCACTTGTGCACATGTTAAATCACTCAATGCATCTTTAGCTGGTTTTCAACCAGCTGTAGCAACATATTATGGGGCTCCAAATGGAGCAGGAAGTGGTAATTAATGATGTTATACTCTGAATAAAACTTTTTTATTAATGCATACAACATTTGTTTTCGTTAATTTAATTTATATATATTAGAGGTTGATTTCGACACACAGTCAGGGTAATTAAAGTTGATCTTTTTAATTGTTTTTATGAGATTTGTTATTAATTGGACCATACAATTAATTTTCATTTTTGTCATACAAGGTGGAGGAGCTTGTGGATATACAAATACTGTATCACAAACCCCTTATAATTCCTTTGTATCTGCTGGAAATCCTCCTCTCTACAGGAAAGGCTTAGGCTGCGGAGCTTGCTACCAGGTCCATATTAATTCTTGCCCATAATTTAGTTTTTCGTCACTTCCAGTAACATGTTATAACATATTAAAATGCACTAACTAATAGTGTAAAAATTAATTTGTACTATCAGTATATATGAGTGAAATCCTTCGATAAATTGCTCTAATGTCTAAGACTTCGTTAATTTGCCTCGTCAATGTTATATACTCATGACTTGTACATCTTGTTCAATTATAGGTGAAATGTAATCTTGGCCCTTGCTCAGGAAACCCAGTGACTGTAACCATTACAGATGAATGCCCTGGGTGTTCAGGTGCTATTCATTTTGATCTAAGTGGAACTGCCATGGGAGCTACGGCCAAGCCTGGACAAGCTGACGCGTTACGTAATATGGGAAATATCTCAATCTCTTACCAAAGGTACATACTTTTTTGAATAAAGTTATATATACTGACCGCACAAAGAATATTTCTTATAATCAGTTGTACTTGTTATTGTAGGGTACCGTGCGTATACAAGAACACAAATGTAGCATTCAAGGTGGATCCGGGATCTAATGCTAATTTCTTATCAGTAAATGTAGAGTTTGAAAGTGGAGATGGTGATCTTAATTTAGTGGAGCTTGTGCCAGCAAGATCTACGCAGT